AAATCATCCTACCCTCACTGCAAAGTGATGACAGTCAGGATTTTCTGCCCCCAAATCGCCTTTGTTCTTGATAATCTCACCACCCATAGTCTCCCACAAGATTCCATTGCCGCCATTATAGATTTACAGTGGAAGAAGCAGCGGCACCCAGATGTGGACTATAAGGACTCATGAGCTCAAGCCAGCTCAAGTTTCCGCATTCCTCTCAAAAACGCTATGCAGTTAAAAGAAATGCCTATTATTCACTACATGTAAATACAATCCAAATCACCACCAGGTGACTCAAATGGATGGTTGACACCATTGCTCAATAAAGCTGGAACGGTGACATTTTCACTTGTGAGTAGAGAAAAAAAATATATCAAATAAATGTTTAATGTTCCAGCTATTTGACCACAGTTACGATGAAATATTACAGTGACGGCAGTGCTTGAGGTGTTCCTTACTTTTAACAGTACAGAACCAGTCATTATTTTAGACTACCTATTTGAATGTTTAGATTACACTTAAAGGGTCATAAAACCCCCCATTTCAGCACTGGTTAGTTCTCACCACAGTTTTAAAAAATGCTAAAAAAAAAGTGGGTGTGGTGCACAGCGGAGTGGACTCAGCGGAGGGGGAAGCAGTGTTGCCAACTTAGCAACTTAGAATTAAGTTAGCTGCTATTTGCAATTGTTTAATTTAATAATAATAATAATTGTTCATTTATGATACACCTTGTTAGTAGCTTGTACTTGAGATTGTTGATCAGTTAGTGCACGGTAAGAAAAATGAAAAAGCTACTAGTAATTTTCCAGGACATTATCCGTTATCCATTGTAACCCTGTAACTCGAAAACACAAAATACAATGCGTAATTTAAAATGTAGGTAAAAAAATCTGTGAATAATAATTACGGAAAATTCCTTCATATTAGTAGATTTTGCCCTATTTTTACACACTTTTCTTAGAGTGTAGCTGTCACGAATTCGGGTCCATGGACTTCCGTTTATTCACCACCAGAGGTCACCCTTTCCATTACATTGACTCTCGCACTACACAAACTGTTGCATAGCACCCATATCATAACATACATATCCCATCATTCTTTGCACGATTTGCACACTGCCCTGATTGCACTCATTGCACACAGCTGTTTCTAATCACCTCACTCACTATATAACACCCACTCTAACTACCTTTCTCTGCTGAGTATTGGTTAGCCTGTACCCCTTTCCAAGTCTCCGTGTTTTCCTTGTTTTGCCTTGCCTGTTTTTGCGGTTTCTGATCTTTGCCTGTTTTCCTGGATTTCTCCCTCTCGTCTCGCCCCTGTGATTCTGTGACCTACGCTAGCCCTAGGACTATTCTTGTGTTTTTGCCCGCCATATACCTGTTTGCCAGTGTTCGACCCTGCCTGTTATACCACGTCTCTTGAAATAAAGCTTGCAGATGGATCTACACGTCTCACGTCTCGTCAGCCCCATTACAGAATACTCAGCCCTACAAGGACCCAGCAGCTTTTCTGAGGAACATTGGCCAGGTATGGACACCGCAAGGATTTTGTTACCCCTTAAACAGGATCCACGATCACTGGAGAACCATATCCGAGAGTTTTTAGCCATCGCTCACTATTCTGAGTTACCAGACTGTCTATTGATAGAGTTTTTCTGCGATGACATAAATCAACCTCTGAGGGCTAAGCTCGGAGGGTCCACGTTCATCACTCGCTCAGTTCATGGATTATGCTTTGTTGACTGTCGGATCTTTATTTACTGTGGGTGTCGCGGAGGATGAACGCAACACAATGTCTGTGATTGAAGTGGTGGCTGTACCAGAGCACGCTCACAAAATGGCGATCTTCATGAGTCAAGTCAAGTCACAACTGATCTTCATGAGTCCAGTCAAGTCTCAGCTGAGCTGCCAGAGCCTCGTTTCGTCACAGCGGATCTTCTAGAGTCTCGCCATGTCTCAGCTGCTCGTCCAGAGTCTCGTCACGTCTCAACTGTTTGTCCAGAGTCGCGTCACGCCTCAGTTATTCATCCAGAATCCCGTTGCATCACAGCTGATCATCCAGAGTCATGTCAGGTCCTGTCTGTCACACCCAGATTCTCAAGGTCAGCCCTTCGGTATCCCAGTCTGGTATCCAGTGTGAGGGATGCACCGCTGGTGTCTGCACGCACCGCTGGTATCCCCAAACCCACTCACTCTAACCCTTCTATTCATGAACTCCTTCCCCTGTCTGCAGCACTTCCCATATGGGGGGTTGCTTTATGCAGTCCCCGCCATGGTCTCCTGATCGGTGTGGTTCACCGGGGGGGTTTCCTGTTCCCTCTGCTCTGCCGTGGTGGTCCTCTGCTCCGCCGTAGTGGTCCTCTGCCCCACCGTGGTGGTCTACTGTCTGGTTCTAGTGGTCCTCTGCTCCGCCATGGTGGTCTTCTGCTCCACCGTGGTGGTCCTCTGCCCCGCCGTGGTGGTCTACTGTCTGGTTCTGGTGGTCCTCTGCTCCACCGTGGTGGTCCTCTGCTCCGCCGTGGTGGTCCTCTGCGCCGCCGCGGCGGTCTGCCTGGTTAGCCTGTACCCCTTTCCGAGTCTCCGTGTTTTCCTTGTTTTACCTTGCCTGTTTTTGCGGTTTCTGATCTTTGCCTGTTTTCCTGGATTTCTCCCTCTCATCTCGCCTCTGTGAATCTGTCTGCCGATCGGTGACCTATGCTACCCCTAGGACTATTCTTGTGTTTTTGCCCGCCATATACCTGTTTGCCAGTGTTCGACCCTGCCTGTTATACCACGTCTCTTGAAATAAAGCTTGCAGATGGATCCACACGTCTCACGTCTCGTCAGCCCCGTTACAGTAGCATACTAATACACTGCTTGAAACTATAATTGTTCAGAATGAGTAGTTTTACTAGTTTACTAGCTAATAAAAATAAACTTAAATTGTAATCGTTCAGAAATGTGAAAGTGGAAGAGGGGAGACAGACAACACACGCAACACACACAGCTTCGTGTTCAGACAGTTTCATTTTGCTCCCATCAAGTTAAAAACACAAATAAATGCACAACCATTTGCATTCTGCATCGAAACCATATATATGAACGCGCTGTTGCACCTCTGAGAACTTTTAAGGCTTATTCTGTGGCGTTTATATAAGCCTTTTGAATGGTTGTGTCACAGAGCTGTAAAAACAAGTGAAAGAATCACGTTTGTGCCGAACTCTTATTACAAAGCAAAAACAAACACTCTTCTTCGATCCATGAACGTTTCTCTCAGTTAATGTGCGCTATGTCATCTCACAGTCTGAAACGTCTGGCATAGCAAATCAACACATGCTGTTGTGAATAATTAAGCGAAGCGTCTTCTCATAGGATAAGAACACGTAGTCTCATGAATAATTTAATGGACACCGACGCTTCATCGATGTACTATAGAGACAGGACGGGGCAAGCCATTGACTTTCTATTGCGGGAAGTTGCCTCCTTGTCATTTCTGACTTATAACGAAAAACAGAGCAATGCCTAAAAGCTGCTACGTGACAAGGTGTACAGTAAACAAGCTAAAAAACCCAGAACTAAATTTTTATAAGCTTTTATAAGCTAAGTTCTGCATGGAACAGTTAAACTTATTATTGCAGATTTTCATATAGAGTTCAGTGTTTGTATTCCCTGTGTGATTTGATGTAAAATGTGGAATACAAAATATGATTTTAAAGTCTATGTCATTTTGTATTTCGTAAAAACAAAAAAACCTGAATTAGTCAATACAAGTTCAGAATTTTGTCATTTAATGAGTTGTATTACATATCCATTTACATGTTAGCCTTTTGTCAAAATGACTTTTGAAGATCAGCCAAACTCATCTGTGGAGATTTGAACCATTTCTCTGAATGACTACAGAGAACAACCCCGGATTCACAACATTCATTTCAAAACACAGAAATAAACGTGCAGTTTAGCTTTGCGGTGTCCAAAATGGTTTATATTAATGATGGTTTATATTCACAATAAGCTACAGAACTGAATATATGAAGGACTAATAACAACAGTGAGACATTTGTTGATTATAATGAGAGAACTTGTGGGATTAAACGTGAGGACATTCGATTAATCTGACAACTCTTTTCAGTTTCACTGTTTTAGCTAAACTGTGGCCAAGTTTTAATTATATGTTTCTTATTTTAGTGGGAACAAAATAATTGTAGCCAGTTCAGATTTGTATGACATTGCAGACATGCTGGGTCTCTCTCGCTGCCCGCCATGTCTCTCATGAAACAAAACAAAACCAAGCAGCACAAAAAAACAAAAACAAAACACAAGTGAATAAAACAGCTCTGTAACTCCTGCTCCACTCACATTCATAGTTGGTAGGTATGCTTTACCTAAGCAGGTAATGTTTAGATGATATAAAATAGATGATAATCATAACACACTGCTCAAAAATCCAATAAAACCACTTGAACACTTGTGTCGAACACATCAATCAATTAAACACTTTCATGTTATACTTCATCATTTTATTAGGTAAATACAACACGCTCAAGTTTTTTACTAAAATAAAGAAAAACATTAATAAAAAAAAAGCACAATAATTTTCTAATTCATGGACATTCATACTTTATAATTCTTTTACCCACATCATGTAGTTCTCTGTCAAAATAAAGGACTGATAAAGAATAAATGTGAAAATGCATGCCGTTTTATTAGCAAAATTTTAACATTTCAAACATTTGTATTTGTGACAAGTATTAAGTAATGTGACAATTTTGACATTTAGCAAATCTGAACTGGCTTCAATGCAAAGTAAACCACCGTTTCTTTTTTACGGTAATATAACATGATTTATATGATATAAATAATACTGCACACCTCTTAAATGTGTAAAAATCTAAAATATCATGTAGTACTGTGTAGCACAGAGAAAACATAAGCACAGGTTCACAGGCCTGACATTTATGCTGCTTAATGCGTTCTAAATAACAAATGCACATAAGTACTAAATTTGCTTCTGTGAATATTACTTATTTTAACAACATTGTTTTTCTTAGATTTTCTGCCGACTGTCATATGTAACCCCCATTGGCAAGTCGAAGCTGACTGCTACTAGGGGAAATGTGCTTTAATTTGTTCACCTGATAACTTGGGTTTGTTAAAGTGCCACTCAATGGTCAAAAGCTGCAAATGCAATAAATAAAAAAAAAATATATATATATATGTATATACTGCATTTGCAGCTTTTGACCGTTGAGTATATATATCAGGGGTGTTTCCTCCGACTAGGCAAAGGAGGCAGTGTCTCCTCAAAATAGTGGATGAGAAAAAAAATCGTAGAACAAAAATAAAACAACAATTTTACAAAATATCACTCATTTTTTTTAACGAAACATTGTGCAACAGCGACACCAACAGGTAAAGTTAAAGCAGGAGTCTGCATCTCTCTCGCTTCCCCTGAGCACATTGAGTTTTAACAGACCCCCTAAAGCGTGCGGTGGGTTTGGTGGTGGGTAATTGAGATTAATGGGGGGAAATCACATGAGAGGAGACAATGCCTCCATCGCGATATGGTTGGATCTGACTAGTTATGTTCGGCTGTGATTGGTTCATGCAATATATCCCGCCTCTTGTGTTCATGCGCGTTCCGCGTTCGCTAATCTGTCTGAATAAACAATATAATGGCTTTAATGGGAAGACTCATTTTAAAAAAGTAAGTAAACAACTCAAATACTTAAATATAACCACTTTGTTACGTCAAAATAAGACTTGAAATAACCTGAAAACATGATCTGTGGGAGTTTTTAGTGAGCAGTTAGCTTGGTAAAATTTTAAGTAAATCTCTGTGTCTGTGACCAATATTCACAGAGCTTTGATGACTGAATAATTCAAAAATAGTTAAAAGTTAACTATTAAAAAGAAAAGCTGAACATATGTTCACAAATAAAATATATTGTTTAAATTGTTACTGCCTTGAGTTATTATTTTAGAATAAATGTAAAATTAAATTAAATTAAATTAAACTTGATGAGATCATACTTGGGTTTAATAAACAGAATATTGATTACATTGTTAATGTAAAACATATATATATATATATACACTGAACAAAAAACACTTTTGTTTTTGCCCTCATTTTTCATGAGCTGAACTCAAAGATCTAAGACTTTTTCTATGTACACATAAGGCCTATTTCTCTCAAATATTGTTCACAAATCTGTCTAAATCTGTGTTAGTGAGCACTTCTCCTTTGCCGAGATAATCCATCCACCTCACAGGTGTGGCATATCAAGATGCTGATTAGACAGCATGATTATTGCACAGGTGTGCCTCCACCTGTGATGCAAAGCTGAATTTTCAGCATCATTGAAGCTCCAGTCTTCAGTGTCACATGATCCTTCAGAAATCATTCTAATATGTTGATTCATTATCAGTGCTGGAAATTGTTGTGCTGCTTAATATTGTTTTGTAACCTGTGATACTTTTTTTTCAGGATTCTTTGATGAATAAAAGTTAAGAATAAAAGTTAAAAAGAAGAGCATTTGTTTAAAATAAAATATTTTATAACAATATACACTACAGTTCAAAAGTTTGGGGTCAGTAAATTTTTATTCTTTCTTTTTTTGAAAGAAATTAAAACTTTTATTCAGCAAAGATGTGATAAATTGTTAAGAAGTGATAGCAAAGATTTATATTGTTAGAAAAGATTTATATTTTGAATAAATGCTGTTCTTTTTAACTTTTTAAAAATATTTGGCAGCACAACTGTTGCCAACACTGATAATTCTGATAATAAATCAGCATATTACAATGATTTCTTAAAGGGGTCATAGGATGCTACATGCACTTTTACAAGTAGTTTGAACTGAAATGTGTGTTGGCAGTGTGTGTACACAACCACCCTATAATGATAAAAATCCACCCAGAGTTTTAAAAAAAAAATCTGGTT